TCATACATCATCGGATCCATTTCAAATGCAGTATACATCATCAGGGATCAATGCTGAGCATGTTGCCACAGTCAATTAATGACATCATTTTAGCCCCGCCCAATTATAAACAAGTGAGTGCGGCTTCCATCTGGAAGGTCCGATTTGCTACAAACTGAATATGGTTGATCTTTGTCAACCCCCAAACAGCTCTATTGGATTACATTGGAATTTGGATCAACAGCGCTGCCTAGGTGATTTCAAGTGCTCTATCTCCTTCATACACCAATGGATCCATTTCAAAGGTGGTATACATCATCATGGATCAATGCTGAGCATGTTGCCACAGTCAACTCATGACATCATTTCAGCCCCGCCCACTAATAAACAAGTGAGTGCAGCTTCCATCTGAAAGGTCAGATTTCCCCCAAACTTTGAATGCTTCTTGCCAGACCAGAATTCTGCATGACCGAAAATAATGACATGTCGCTCACAGTGCCACCTAGTGGCAACGTGTGGAATCGAATGGTGGCCTCGTCGGTGGTGTGTACGCAGCGATGCCAGGCTCCCACAGTCGCTGCACAGGCCGAGCTGCGCTGAGCTGCGAGGGCCTACAATGCTGCTTGCAGCTTTAATTCTTTTTATTATTTTAGGACTCACTTTGTCATGTGAGTCTCATCTGTGATTCCTCAAAGTAAGATGCTGATATTTTTTTGGTTTTGTTTTGTCTTCATCTTGTCATGATCTGCCAGTGTTAGGTTTTTGAGTTTATGTTTTGTTTATTTCCTTCTCAGCCAGTGTCAGTGTAACTGGAAGAAGGCTGCACACTCATTATTTTCTGATTTAAATGCATTTTTTTATTTTATATGAATTTTAATATAAGAAATTCATAAAAAAATAGAAATTTCATTTAAATCTAAAAAAGAGGAGTGTGCCTCCTTCTTCCAGTCCAGTAGGATGATTTGCATATAGTTTTGTGTCAATTGATCACATGACTTTAAAGCTATTGAAGAAAAATGACGAATTTTAATATTAAAAATTCAAAAAAAATCTATATCAGAAAATATTGAGTGTGGCTCCTTCTCCCAGTCTTGTAGTATGATTTAAGATTGATTATGTGTCACTTGGTCACAAGACATGAAAGTTATTAATTTTTGTTTCTCCTGAGTGTTCGGTTCGAACCACTGTGTGTAGGAGGAGCGAGACGTTAGAGGCCAGTTGCCCTAAATCAGCCTGCCCGTATCGGCCCAAATAGGAGGCTGACGCCGCTGAATCCGCGGAGCGCGAATATCCTACCTCCAACCTAAAACTAACTTCACCGTGGTTTCAAGAAGCATTAAATCTGAGCGTGGAAACAAAGAAATTATGGAGAGCAGAATATATTTGATAGAGAGCAGAAATTTTGAGTGCAAGCATTACTAAGTTTGAGTACAAGCAGAATGAAATCCTTCTCTTAAACTGAAAATATGTTCTTGAGTTTTGGCAGTAAATTTCTCTCATAAACGTTCATTCCACCACCTGCCAGCCGTGATAGAAAATCAGTATGAGAAAACAACAACACTGAGTACACAACATCGACTACTGTGGGTGATTCGGATATCCAGGGCGGATCTGGACGACTTGAACCTCACTCACGCCCGAGTGTGCAGTGCACATTTTGTGACAGGTAAATAAATAATGTTTGTCTACATGTATTGTAATAATCTTCTGGAAAGTAGTCTGTTAAGACCGTGAGCTGATCAGTTGATTCTGAGCTGGCTAGCGGCGCTGAGTGCTGCCACCCAGCACTCAGCACTGTGACCTACTTCAGTAAGCTGCGCTCTCACCCCTTCTGCAATTTACCTTGACTGTTATACTGTAAATGTATCTAGTAATATAACTATTATGTAATTGTCCTATAAAAGGCAATATTGAACTTACCATGAATTTTTGCTTATTTTGTGGCTATGAAAAAATAGTTGCATACTTGTCTAAAAATTATGTGCGGCCAATCGTTGCTAAACAAACCAAAATATGGATCAACCTTGTTGGTGACCACAATTTAAGGTACATGGCGAGGAGACTGTAACAACTCTAGATACTTATTCATAGTCTAAAAAGTATGCAGTGTTGCAATATTGGGAAAAGTGTGAAGTGATACGGAGACACCCAAGATGGCGGAATCGAAGTGAGGCTGCGACTTCAGTGACGTCAGTGAAAACCCCCCATTGAGGGACACAAGGGTGGAAGTGCGCGTATTGGGAAAGGGCCTCTGTCCCTAGTCTGGTTTAATGGCCTTTAACACCACCTTTTTCTCTTTTTGTTTTTACAAAGCTACACGGCGAATTACTTCTGCCTGCCAGTCCAATGTGATCATGGCAAAAAGTGTGGAAAATGTAGAAATTTGTCACCAGAAATTTAGGAAATTGGTATGCCCGACTATGAAGCCGAGGACAGTGCACACGGAGTCCGCTGCTCACAATACGCCCGACTATGTTCTGCCCTTAAGTCAACCTTTCACCTCTTACACATTATTAATTGCATATGTTGAATATAGCCAGTGAATGTTATGTAATTCAGTTAGTAAAGATTAAACAGAACAATAGCATATAACTGGACCTTACCTGATTTAACTGTGTTTTTATATATCATATTGATTTGCTGCCACGGCCTTTTTGCCTCCTGGCTTTCACCTAGACACACATTTATAGCACACACACATACTTAATGTTTTTTTTAACATCAAATAAGCGTAGTGTCGAGCATGCAACTTTTAACTCTCCGTCATTTTCTAATTCCATCGGCGAGAAACACACACTTCGAGCTTCTTATTCCCTACCGTTGCCATGGTGAATCATGTTATCTGCCTCCTATTAATGAGCTTCTTTTGCTTCATATTTACTCGTGCTTAGCTCCGAGCAACTTTACCTCAGGATTTAGTAACCCAAGTGTTAGGCTGTGTTCTGAACCTGAAAACCCTGAGTATGTTAGTATGGAGTAGCTCTACTCAGGATATGTACTTTCTACTCTGAGCTTGTTAAACCTGCTTCCTGAAACGGGGCTCGGGACACAATTAAACTTAAGGAACATCTTACAGATATAACAAAACATAAAGAATCATAAGAAACTAAGCCTAAGGAAAGACCTAAAGCACCACCTGGAAAACATAATGATCAGAAGTGAGATTCAAAAACACATCTTGGAGAACATAATCAAAATCAGAGAAAAACCAAAAATAAAGACCCAAACAGCCTCAAATCATGCCATATGTAGGATTTTTTACAGTTTATGTAAAAATAAATATCATGTTTCAGTTGCATAATCTAAATGTTCATTTGATAAACAAATCAACATTACTTCCACAGAAACTCGGTTCTTGTTAGCCCTAAACAGTAAATAAGAATAAAAGTAATAGACAAATATTGTTAAAATTAGAGGTTTAATAAAGAATGAAACTGTGGTGTAGAGTAAAAACAATCGCAACTTGTTGAAATCAACCTTAAACAAGTAGTACTGGTTTACATAAGCTGTTAAACAACAGCTGCCTTCCAGCAAAACAAGTTAGATTTACTGCTCTGAATAGTCAAATTATCAATCTGGTGACCTCCCTGTCATTGAGCCACACGTTAATAAACTGGCTAAAGGTCATCAACTTCAGAGCTCTCGAAAAGGCCAGAACATTTTAGTATTACCTGTATTTTTTACATTTTTTTACTGTGTTTTTATTTGAATTTGCATGGAACAGTACATAACAATTCCTGATATCAAAGCACAGTGCAACAAAAAAGAATGAAAGATATGCTTGACAATGCATAGTAAAAAAAAAACAGATAGATAGTTAAATGGGCATTTAGGACATTGTAGAATCCTTCATTTAAAGAAATATCTTGTTATAGGTAACCATTTCTGCTTGAACTAATCAGATCTTAGTTGTAGTTGAGCCGTTAGGGCCTCCATTCCATACACCTCCCTTAGCTTCTGTTTCCATTCTAGGATAACCTGTATTTAATGGCAAAATAAAACATATAATCCTTTATTGCACAAAGGTTTAGGCTGGCAGAGAAAACTATCGCTAGGACTTTCCATCAACAAATTATCATAATTGTTTTTTCAAGAATGAGAATGAACTGAAACACAAAAGCTGGAACAGTGCTGCCTTGGCTTGTTCAGCTGTACCCAGGCAGGCCAAAGAGCTGCGGGTCAAACTTCTCCATGCTCCTCAGGCGCAGTGTGGCCCCCTGGGTAAGGCTTGGGGCCAGGTTGTCGTCAGGAATCATCACCACCTGCATCCCAGCAGCTAGTGCAGCTTTTACACCGTTGGGGGCATCTTCAAATACCAGGCACTGAGTAATGGCAGCAGAAAGAAAAACAAATGACAAAGCTCATTAAGTCTTTCCATCCTGCAAATGAAATAATGATAGAGTACTATCTCCATCTCAGTTGGTTTAACTTGAAATTCCTCTGAGATCTAATGTTTACCTCAGCTGGGTAAAACATCCATTTATCGACATTTTAAGGAATGCACCCTGTAGACTCACTACATTGTCTTTAGATTACAGAAAAGAAATATTTTCATTCTCTAACTGATATAAGGCAAGTTAAGAAACTGGACACAAATATGAGAGCCTTTTAAAGTGACAAACACCATGGTTTATATATTATGGAAAAACTATACATAGCGTTATTCCGATTTAGATGTATTGGAACTGATAAATTGACAATGATGAATTAGATTAGTCTGTCCTGTTTCCAACACCTTTACTTTAAATCAACTTTTTCATTCATTCATTCATCTTCTATAGCGCTTATTCCATAGCGGGTCATGGGGGAATTGGTGCCTATCTCCAGCAGTCTACGGGCAAGAGGCAGGGTACACCCTGGACAGGTCACCAATCCATCGCAGGGCAACACAGAGACATACAGGACAAACAACCATGCACACACTCATTAACACCAAAGAGCAATTTAGAGAGACCAATTAATTTAACAGTCATGTTTTTGGACTGTGGGAGGAAGCCGGAGTACCCGGTGAGATCCCACGCATGCAGAAAAACCCTCGGCTGGGAGTCGAACCCAGGACCTTCTTGTCGCAAGGCAAAAGTATTACCAACTGTGCCACTGTGCAGTTTTAAATCAACTTTTCATCAGAGAGAATTATATTTCTCACTAAAACATGCCAACAGCATAGGAATGTTTCATTTCATTTTATTTATTTGTATAGCCCTTTTAAACCAAAGTGCTTTTACTACATACATAAAAGGCAAAACATCAAACAACCAACAAAAGAATAAAAATAAAACAATAGGAATGCTGGAATAAAGTGCCAACAAACTACTCAATATTAAAAGCCTTTTTGAAAAAAAAGTTTTAAGGTTGGATTTAAAAAGGCTCAGGTCAGAGACAGAATGTAGGTTCGGAGGGAGCTGGTTCTACAGTTTAGGGGCTGCTTACTGAGAATGCCTGGTCACCCTAATGTACATACTTAGTCCTTGGAGCATCCAATAATAAAATGTTGTGCATTTAAAAAAAAATAAAATAAAACAAAAAATATGATCTCCAAATTGCACACGTTTTACCACACCACACCTGTCAGGACCTGGTGAAGGACTTGTGGTGGTCTTTAAAGACAATTACAATGTATAATCTAATGGACAGCACCTCATTTACTACTTCTGAATGTCAGGTTATCAAGTTATTTTGCAAGATGTATTTTATTGTATTCTAATTCCTGTTTTTCATACTGGTAAGTTCTTTGTGGAATCACAAGACTGAAAAGGAAAAGTTTAATACCACCTAAACGTTTTCATATTTTGTTATGCTCCAACCACAAACTTTTATTCACCCTACCCCCATAGTTTATTGGGGTGTTATGCTAAAGTTCAACAAAATTATTAAAATAGCATTTTTTCAAAACCAATGTGTGTTGTACTGTTTAAAGAACACTGTAAGAAGTCTTGTTTGCTACAAGCCATGTAGGGGACATAACAAACATGTGCCGGAAGATGCTCTGGTCAGATGAGACCAAAATTTAACTTTTTGGCCTACCTGAAAAACATTATGTTTGACTGAAAACTAACAACAACAAAGCCCCATCACACTGGGCAACAAGGTGATGGCAGTATCATGGTCAAAGCTAATGGGAAGATGGATGGAGCTAAATACAAGGCAAAAGTGAGGAAAATCTCTTAGAGGCCGCAATACACTGATTGAGACTAATAGCCAGAGGCACCATGAAATGGTTCAGATCAAAGTGCATTCACACGAATGACGTAGACCGAAATGACCAACTTGTTCACAGATGCTCACCATCCAATGTGATTGAATTTTAAAGGGCACAACTTTGTGCAAAGCTAGTTAAGACATGCCCCAAAACATCTGCAGCTGGTACTGCAGTAAAAGGTGGTTCTACAAAGCTTTGAATCAGGAGGCTGAATGTAGGTAAATGCCACATAAAAACAAAATGAAAACCATCCATCTTTTTCTTCCACCTCCCAATAACGCACAATTTTGTGTTGGTCTGTCCCAAAATAAACACTTAGGCCTGTACTTGTCGTATGATAAAATGCGAAAAGTTCTTGGAGAAAAAGTATTTTTGCATAGGACAATATATGCTTCATAAACACACATTCATGGAATATAATCCATGTTATTCGAAGATGCCGACAGAACATAAGACAGCAGCAATAATCGCAACAGTCACTACAGAGGAGATGCATTACTGATACATGACGTAAATTAACCCACATCTTTCTCACATACGCACTTTGACTATAGAGGACAAAGTGTGTATGTTCTGGAAGCAGCGGCAGCGAATAAATTACAGACAGATTGCTCATCACATTTTTTTAAATGATCCTAGAGCGTGAGGTAGAATGAGTGAAGAATGTGTAACATTCCTATAATGATGTTGCAGAGAGCAGGAAAAAATCTCCATGCTGATGATGGACAGGACCGTTGAGGTTGATTACAGGGTTTTGCCACCTCAACGCCACTTTTAATGGCTGCTGCAGCAAAGGTGGATGTGACATCATACAATGTTTGTTGCCAACTCCAACTCATTACCACACTAAAACCTAGCTTGACCAATCATACAGCCAAGAAGAAAGGCAGTATAAGCATGAAATGACTTACTGTTGATAGCTGCTAACTTTACCTATCATAGAGATCATGATTATTAGAGGACACACATCAACTATCTACAGTGTCATGAAAAGACATTTTTTCCTTTTACAGGTTTCTTCAGTTATTTTCATTTCACCCTTAAATGTTTCATTTTATCAAAAAAAATTTTATGACACAAAGATAACCTCAGAAAAAAAATCATTTATCCAAACAAACAGGGCCAGGTTGGTTTAGACAGCTGTTTTCCTTTGCAAATGAAGCCTTGACATCCTGTTGTAAATCTGATTGATTTTGTTTCTAAAAAAATCTTATTTTAACTTTGTTTTAACACATTTTATTTACATCTTATTTTACCTCTTCTCTATATAATAGAGAAGAGGTAATATAATACCTATATAATGTTTTATATGATATGTTTTTTTGATTTGTTTCACCTTGTTGTACAGCACTTTTGGTTCTATAATTAAGGTTTTAAACATGGTTTATAAATAAACGGAAATTGACAAATAGAATTATCATTCGAAAACTGCCTTTTATATTTACACAGATTATCTACTCAGATTACCTCTGTCTGAGATTAACATTTGTTTGATAGTCTGAACATCCTAAGAAGCATGTTAGCGGGGATCCTGGAGGAATATCCTCATGGATGATAGCTTTTTCATGACAAAGACCTCCATCTCCACTGCAACACTGCAGTACATTTGCAAACCCCAAAAGACACCTGACTTACAGTTTCAGACCTGTGTGTTAATAAATACATTTTAAGTAAAATGTAGCAAAAAATGATAACCCTGTAAATACATTCATGATATTTAAGTTTATTAAAATAAACTAGATGTTCTTTCTTTAACAGTCGGACTTTGTTCTTACAGATGAAATGTATCTGTATCATTAAAGGAATTTGAAGGGTTTTCAATTTTAAATTCTTCGCAAATTCTATAAAACACTTAAACACAAAGTCATACTCTGGGGAATAATGTCTACACCATGGAGGATGGGAGATCTCCACAGAGATCAAAAAATTGAGAATCCCTTTGGTCTTCCACACACGAAGAGGCCGTGCCATACTTTCCTCCTTCTACCTTGACTCTAGGAACAACTGGCTTCTCACTTGCCGGAATCAGCAGCCCTGAGACTGCATTTGGCCTTTTTTTTCCATGACGCCATCTTGCAGCTAATTTTGCACTGTAGGTTTGAGAATGAACCACAGCCAGGACCTTCCAGAAAGTGGAGACAAACTTGAATTAATGAAGGATGACTCATACTTAATAATCTATTAATTAACACATTCATTAATAGTTTACCCCTAAAGACTAATTACATTAATAACCAAGATGCCCATTGTTTATTCATACTTAATAAACCATGAATAAACTATTGTATATAATATGTATGTAAATGCACATATACATGCACTTTTACATCATGACTTACACATGTATTAATGGTTAGAGAATGCCTGAATAGATTATCTACTAATCCTGCAGTGCATGAATAATTCAGGCGGTTGCTAGTAGTTAAAGTCTTTTTGTGAAGCCTTCTAAAGTGAAGACTATTTATGATGTAATAAGTATGTGTTAATGTAGACAAAATCATGATGAGCCAGAAGTTTCTTTTCACCAGTAGAAATCACAACAAAATCAGGAAAAGGAGACATGGGATACAGAAATATATACTTATGCATTAAAAATTTCACAAGGTAAACAAAACATAAATCTCAGCCAATTACAGTGATTTCACATATAACAAGTATGTGACTAGATAAAACATTATGTAGTCAACTGTACAACATAGACAACACAAGCAGCTGAAATTCTGCATGAAATGCATTACAAACATGGCTCATAAAACAGTCAACCTACAGCAGGTCACTAAAGTCCCAAAAATTGTGAAAAACTGTTTGTGTCACAAATAACATGAAATCCTTCAAATAATACAAGCAATTGCAAGTCTCATGTTATGCACGTAAAATAAAACAAAAATGTTAATAAACCAAAGAAAAGTGAGTATTTGGCTAAATAATTATAAACATATATCTCTCAGTTGACACTGAACACCTGCTATACTCTACAATATCATGCGCCATTACTTTAATTTGAAAGGAAACAGCTTTCCAGAAGCCTTATAGTTTTTAACCAGTAGTTCTGTCTCTGGATCCTCTTTAATAGCAAATGCACACTGAGCTACAAATACAGAGAGCTTAACCTGACTGTTGTACTTTTTTAAGACTTCCTTTTGTTTGCTAGGTGCAACGATAGATAGCTCTGCAATTGGAGCAGTGATGACAATTGTGTTGTCATCACCAAGATGTTGCATTGATGATGGTAGAGTCTGGCCGCTGCGCAAATCTTTCTCCAGCACATCCCAAAGATTCTCAATGGGGTTAAGGTCTGGACTCTGTAGTGGCCAATCCTTGTGTGAGAATGATGTCTCTCAGTGTATATTGCTGAAGAGCAATATGCACTGCCTGGCCCAAAAAAATGTTGCCACCTGGAACTAAGCAACTAAGTATGAGACTCCCATTGGATAATTACTGCAGAATGATGTCTCATGCTCCCTGAACCACTCTTTCACAATTCAAGCCCGATGAATCCTGGCATTGTCATCTTGGAATATGCCCGTGCCATCAGGGAAGAAAAAATCCATTGATGGAATAACCTGGTC